AAAAATTAGCTGGGCATGGTGGTGGGCACCTGTAATCCGTAATCCTAGCTACTCGGGAAGCCTTGGCAGGAGAATCTCTTGAATCTGGGAGGCGGAGGTTGAGGTGAGCCAAGATCATGCCATTGCACTCTAGCCTGGGCAACAAGAGAGAAATTCCATCTTGAAAAAAAGAAAAGAAAATGGCTCTTTTTTTTTTTTTGAGACGGAGTTTCGCTCTTGTTACCCAGGCTGGAGTGCAATGGCGTGATCTCGGCTCACCGCAACCTCCGTCTCCTGGGTTCAGGCAATTCTCCTGCCTCAGCCTCCCGAGTAGCTGGGATTACAGGTACACACCACCATGCCCAGCTAATTTTTTTTGTATTTTTAGTAGAGACGGGATTTCACCATGTTGACCAGGATGGTCTCGATCTCTTGACCTCGTGATCCACCTGCCTCGGCCTCCCAAAGTGCTGGGATTACAGGCTTGAGCCGCCATGCCCGGCCAAATGGCTCTTATTATTCTGTTTAGACATGAGTATGTGTGTATATAGCCGGAAAAAAATACAGTGGACCACAAAGAATGGCACTCTCCAAATAGTGGGATCAGAGGTGATTTTAATCTTCTTCTTATTCATTTTTCTCTATGTTTTCTATATTGACTACATTTTACCTCTGTAGCAGATGCAAATAATACACACTCACATTGAAGATTCAGTCAACCAACCTCCTCTGAGATCTGGCATTGTGTGATACTGTCCTCTGCAGCTCAGTCCAAGGGGATAAGAAAAGACATTTTATAAATAGCTATAAAGCAAAGTATGAAGCTTAGAGGAAAGGAGATTACTTCTGGCTGGATGTAGAAAGTCTTCATGGAGGAGGAGTCTCAAAGAATTGGCAAGATTTGGACAGACGGCTCTGTGACAAAACGCATTTCAGATGGAAGAATGGCACAACAGCAAGCAGGCAAGAAGGTCACAAATGTACAAAGGGATACAGTGTAGAGAAGCCAGTATAAAATGCAGAAGCCACCATTGCAGACAGATGCTGGGGGCTACCAACTCTTGACCATGGACCCAGACCATAAGTGCTAGGTCCCACTTGGGACTTCTTTATGCAAACAGACCCAGCCCAAGCTCAGAGGTTAATAAAGCTCTCCATATACCATGAATTAAGATGGCAAGGTGGATGGTCTGATGGGCGAATGGATAAATGGATGGACCCCAGTCATTCTGACCTAATTAAACAGCCTGGGCTAATGAAAAGAATTTTGAGACAGAAGCTTATATTTGTGTGATCTCTCTACAGCACCTGACTGGTATTCTGGAGCACAAATTACAGAGCCTCTATGATTTCCTTTACTTGTAAAATGGGGGTCACAGTCTGGCCTACTTACATCATATCTAATGTAGAACTGAGCGAAAATAAGGCCATGCCTAGCAACGTGCTTGGAAATCTGCAAAATTTTATAGTTAGTTCTGAAAGTAAATGCAATCATCCAATGACATACTTCATCCATCCATATACCTTCCAATAATTATTTTCTGACTGTCTAAAATGTGCCAGGCACAGTGCTAGGTCCTAAGGATAGACTGGAGGAAAAGATCAATTTGACTGCTATTCTTACAGACTTTCCAAATTAGCCTGGATATTTCTTCGTTCCCCATAAGAAGCAGCAAGCATTTCCCCTTGCTTCAGTTTTTTCAGTCGTCCACCCATTTAATCATTAATTCATAGAAGACTATGCCTGTCTAGGACATTATTTAGCATGCAGCAGATATGCAATAAATATTTGTTGAATCAATGCATCACTAAATATACATTCCCTGAGTTTCTTGTCCTCAAGAAAGTCACAATCTAGGAGAACAGAAAAAGGGAAGTCAGCAAAGGTGATGAGAGTATGGTAATGACCACAAGATAGGAGGCACAGCGTGTTACCGGAACACACATGTGAGGTCAGTTAATGATCCTCATCTACCAGGGGTTTGGACAGAAAAAGCAGAGTGTCTATAATCTAGACATTTCATAATTTAAGAGATCCTGAGGTCAGGCCAGGTTAAATGCCCATGAGATAATGCCAATGGTGTGCTAGGTTTGGGAGGTCGCCCGTGGGGACAGAAGGTGGAGAGGTGGCAGGGGCCATGACATGGCCAAAGCCCTCTGGTGGCAGCTAGAGAAGAGACTCAAGGTCTGCTGGAGAGAATGGTCCTCTTTAAATAGTGGGATTAGAGTCTCCAGACCTCAGAGGTGTCTCAGACCCCTCTTTCCCAAACCCAGCTGTCAGCGCTCATCTCTGCTTCTGCCTCCAACCTGCCTGTTTCCACCTCCTTTGGGAACTGCATCTTTTACTTGGAACTGTTTTCCCAAGCCACTCAGTGAAGATAAATAATACAGTTATACCCGGTTAAGTAAGGGAGGGGAAGAGAAGAATTAAGAGCTATTGGCAAGGGAGAAAAGCGTATGGTTTCAGATTAGATTTGGAAATAGAGAGAGGGTTGCTGGAATTGATTCTCATTATTCCTGTTCTCTCCCGTATCTTTCCCTCCCTCCTTGCTGTGTTTCTTTGCTTGGTCTTTGTCAATTTGCTTCATGATAACCCCTTAGTTTCTCTGCGTGCTCTCTCTCTCTCTTTTAAAAAATTCATCCCAATGTCAATGAGTTTTCTCCTCCTCCTCTTTCTTGTCCCACAACATTGCAAACTGATGCAGAGAGTGGGTGTCCAAAGAATGGGGACAGCAACTAACCTTTGCTAACACCCACTTACGTGCCAAGCCAGGGGCTTTCATTCATTGTCTCATTTAGCCCTCACAGGAAACCCACATAGGTAAAGTAGATAGCAGAACCTCCAATTTTCAGCTGAGATGTGATCCCCCTAAAAGGGGATCACACTTTTCCAAGCCCTGATTCCCAGATTCCAAATTCAGTGCTTTCACCACTGTCTTATCTGGGCTGAGAAAGGAGCTTTCACATTTGAGTAAAGAGATCGAGGAATCAAGTGCATGCCAGGGGGCATGATATGATAAGTACCAGGGCACTAGGCATCGTTCCAGGTCACTCAGATGCTCTGCCTATTTCATCGTAGTAAAGTCATTTGTTTCCTCTGTTTTTAAGATGCAAATATTTCCTGCGAAAGAAGTTTATGAAGCATTCTGTCTTATGGTGAATGAATTTTTAAGATCACTTTGCTCCTTCCTATATTTCACTGGGTTGACCTTTAACAAATTAAGTTCACCTCTCTAAGCCTCACTGGCCTCATATGAAAGAATGGGAATCATAAAATCAATCTCTTATGATTGCTGTGAGAATAACAGGAGATACGCATTGGAAGGAGCCTAGAACAGCATTTAGCCTATGAATATTCCCTGTCAGTTGTCTGTCTTCTTGTCATTAATTTCTATCTCACCACTGTCAAGGCAAGAAGCAGTGGGCTGTTTTGAGAACAGTAAGGTGTGTATGACAATATCAAATATAAAGAAAAAGGAGGCAGAGGTCACAGAGATAAAACTTCCTACTTCACTTGGAAACAGTCTCCATGACCCATCTACCTTGTCCCCAGTGCCCCATAAACCTTTTAAAGTTATCCCTACAGCAATGACCTGGAATCATGGAAAATTAGAAAGAGAGGGTAAAAGGATGGAGATCAATGATCTATCCCACCCATTTTACCAATCTGTCCAATGAGGACCAGAGAACAGTAGCAACTTGCCTTAAATCACACAGCATCATGATACACTGTTCTTCCTGTCTCATTGTTAGAGAAAAGGATTCACAGACTAGAGAGGCAGAACCTCCTTGAATCTCAAAAGTGATTTAGCAGCATGAGAGACAAGGAGTGGTAAAGATCTCTCATAATGCCAGGGCTCCTCCTTTCACCTCCTAAAGATGCTACCAAGAGGGCATCTTAGGTCTCTGTTGCTAAGTCTGACTTGTCAACCCCAACCCCCACACCCCAACCCAGGGAACTCAGCATGTGAATGCCACATGCATGGATTCAGACCTGACATGTGAAAATGCAACCAGTCAGGAAAGTATGGCACCATGAAGTGTGATGTGTGAGGAAGAAAAGTGAAACCTGTGAAACTCAGTGACCAAACGGAATCTAAAAGAACAAACATACCTGACATTGAGCCCACCAGCTATTTGCAGAAAGGTTGGAGAGGCAAGACTTAAAGGAATATCTTTAGATGATGAATTAATCCCCAGTGTCGGACACTGACCTAAATTCATTGCTTGTAGGAACCATACCATGGTCCACTGGCCCCAAGCAACATTTTTACCTCTTAGCCATTGTTCACATTGTGCCACCTGCCCGAAATGCCTTAATCTTTTCTTCTGCACAAGGATGTTACCTATCCTTCAAAACCCAGCTGAAGTGACCCTCAAAAGAGCCCAGTTCAAAATGCCCTCTCCCTCTCCTGAGCCCTCAACACCCCTAGCAGGCTGCTACTTCCTTCCCTGACTTCGCAAACTTTACCCATTCCTAATTCTCATGACTTTTGTTAGGTCATAAGGGTCTTTTGAACCAGGAATTGCTCTTATCTCCTGTCTCCTTTTTGGTAGCTCAGCAATTTTTTGCAACAGCAGGAACTTGACAGATATTGGTTGATGCAAGATTAAAATGAAACCCAAGTAAAGAGGCCAGCATGGTGAAATTCCTGACTCCGGTTTCACAGGCTGGAATACTGAGGTACAGTGTGCAGAAATGGGACTCAGAGAGATTAAGAAGCAGAAGTGGGAAGAAGCAGGTAAGAGCCCCTTAGACTAAGCACATATGGTTTTACCTGTCCCACATCCTCTACTTCACTTCTGCTTTATAGCCCACTATGCCATCTATCAAAATAGCACCAACCTGGACCAAATGGCATTTGATGCAGCCAAACCAGGACAACTGAGCACCCCTGTGCCTTGTCTACCTCTGACGTTGTCATTCCTCCATGTGCCCCTGTCTTTATGCTCATAGTTCCATATTCTTGTTCTCCCTGTTCTCTGTTCCACCCTTTTTTTGCCTGCCTAACTCGGAATCTCCAGAACTCAGCTGTAAGTAGACTATACAGTCAACAGCCCTCCTCCTCCTTACACCTAAGCCAGTGTCATGTGACACTGCAGATATCCCTATTAAGCGGTGAGTCTGTTTTTCTTCCCCTTGACCAGAGTTGGCTGCAGGATTTTCTCTAGCCAATGGGACAATGAGAAAAGTGACACACTCAGAGATTTGAAAAGCGTTTATGTACTGGGGCTTGCCTGCTCTTGCTGCTCCTGGGATCCCTGCAATTGTTATGTGAGATTAGCTTGATGAAAGCAGAGAGAAGGATGGCCCATCTGCCTAGGCTGCCCCAGACAAAGCCTGCTGCTCAACATAGGATATGTGAGAGAAGCCAACCTGGGTCGTTCTCCTGCCACAAACTTGCTGGCTGACCACAGACATAGGAGAGAGCCCACAGGGATCAGCCAAGACCCGAAGGAGAACTGCCCAACTAAGCTCAATGGTAATTACCAGCCCATATAAATAGAGCATAACAATGATCTTAAGCCACTAAGTTTCGGAGTGTTTGTTACACAGCAATAGCTAACAGGAAGACATCACCTCCTTTGGGCAGCCTCCCTCCACCCCACTGCAAGGCTGGTTTGGGCATTCCTGCTCTGTGCTTATCATGCTCTATGTAATCATTGCTTGAGTTATTTCATGCTTCACCTACCCTCTCCTCCCCAAGTCTCTGAGCTTCTTAAAACTAAAAGCCTTGTCTCTCTTGCTGCCCACTACCTCCCTAACACCTATCTCAGAGTTTGTGCTTAATGGGCATGTGTAGCACAGAACAAACTGATAGTGAAATTTCGCCCTGGGGGATCCTACCATATCTCCCTCAGCCCCTCCTCTTCCTAATCAAAATCTCTGCGGCCCTGATTGAGAGAGTGAGTGAGTATTGATTGGCTCCAATGGTACTGCTTCAGGAGCGTAATCTGCCTCTATATTCCTTAAATAAGCTCCATGCCTGTTCGGTGTGTTCATGGCAGCCTTGATTGTAATTCAGCCTGTACTCCATTACCCTTATTTATAACATGGCACTGGAGCACAGAGCCCCAGGCTGTCAGTGGAATATTACAGGACCCTTTTGACTTGCAATTCCACACCATTCACTGCAATTTAGGCCAGCCATAGATGGTGCCCTGTGGCAAGGAAGGGGTGATTAGAGGATGCCAGGCTGGGGTGCGGAGGAGGGAACAACCCTCTTGATTTTCTCTCTGCATCAGAGAAAGATGGAAAAAAAAAATGGGCTAAGGTTATTTAATGTCCCTTTCCACCAGGACAGTGTGTCCCTGAATGATGGCATATCAAACCACTCTCTGACAGACTCAGGCACGAAGAGTCCTGGGACCACTGTGGGGACACCTTTTAACTCAGCGTAAAATGCCAGAGTCCCCTCTGCAGGTGAGATGACAGGAATGTTGTTCCCATATTGCCAGGCTACCAGTAGGAAACGTGGAATTCCATTCCTGTCTTTGCTCTGTGCCCTAGGGTGAGGCATTCATTTCTCTGAGTCTCTCTTTTCGTCTGTCAAATGTGGGGACTGATCTCTCCTCTGACTCCTTCCCTAGGTCACTGGAAGCAGTAAAGGGAGAAATTCACAAGAAAGAACATTAAGTAAAATGTTCCCTGTGCAAAAGTCATGGCTATGATTAATACCAGTCAACCTGGTGGAAGATGTCTAGAAAACTGAACCAAGAGGCTCAACAGGAATGGCTGAAATTCCCTCCCATTTTTTAAAGACACCAGCTCCTCAATATAGCACAGGGCCAGGGCTCAGGCTCTAAAACCAGCCACCTGGATTCCCACCTCTGCCACTCTGTTAGTTGAATAACCTTCCAGAAAATCACTTAACTTCTCAAAAGCTCACTTTCATCATGTAAACTGGGGAAAGTAGCATCATAATAATCACTGGAGTGTGAAAGCCAGGAAGGCAGGCACTGGTTTGTCTTAGTCATCGTGTACCACAGTACCTAGAGAGTGCCTGGTAAAATGTAGCCACTTAATCTAAAAATAATAAAATGGCTAACACATGTTAAGTGCTTACTCCGTGCAAGTCTTTCCATAGCTGTATGCATACACCTACCTTATTTTGTGCTCCCAATATTCCTATGACTGATGGATAATGATAAAGCACAGGTACCCAGTGGCCAGATACTGTGTCAGCACAAGATCCAGCACATGTCTGTGCTCCATAAGGTTTGCAGCAGTGAACGGTGCCACTACCACCACCTCTGTGGTGCTACACGGATAAATTGCTTTTACTCCAGTTAATACACACATCATCTGAGATCACTTGCTCTGAAGCAACAGAGCCTGTCTTTGATTGTAAATTCCTGGCAAAAGGAAAAGACACATCCTTTGAATATCCTCTTCAAGGCACTGTGGTTACAACATGGCATATCCTCAGGGTGTCCGACTAGAAATCAAGACATCTGAGTCGTCACACCTCCTTCCAGTCCCCACCCCGCTAGGTTCTTTCCCTCTCCAGAATCATAGAAACTCGACACATAGAGTAGACTTTGTCAACTCAGCAAACGTTTCTGGAGAGCATTTGCTGCACCGAGCCCTTTGTGGAAGCTTTTGGGCATCATTTTTCTGGGTCTCCACTTCTCATTAAGAGTCAAGAAAACTGAAACTCAGAGAGGACAGGGGAGTTGTCCCAGATTACATAGCAAGTCAAGGGTAGGGCTGATGAGAATCCAGACTCTTGTCCTCAAGAGCAGGCTCTCTGTACTCTACCTGCCAGACTCTTGAGTAGCCTCCTTGCTCTGCCACTGATGTGCTGTTTCACCTGGGAAAGCCATTTCCCTTTCTGAACCTCACTTTTCTCACCTGTAAAATGGGAATAGACATGGCATCTTCAGAGGCTGTTCATAGGATTTATTAAAGAATGCTATTAGCAAAGATACTTTGATCTTACACTCTGTCTTAGCGGAAACTGTTATGCTATCAGAAGACAGCAAGAACTATACCTTCCAGGCTATATGATAAACCTCATACACATGTCTCAGCTCTATCACTTATCTGAGAATTATAATAGGACCTGGGAGAAGGGGGTCCCACCTAGCTGGTATCCCATCCACTCATCCTGTACACCTCATAAACATGTGTCAGCTCTTTTATGGTTTTGAGAGTTACAACAGGAACTGGGAGAAGAGGGACCCACCTAGCTGGTGTCCTATCCACTCATCCCATGCACCTTTTCTGAATGTTTTTCTTTAATGACCACTTACTCAGGGCTATAACTCTTACTCTCATAATCTTCACCCTAATTCCTGTCTACTATGTAATGCGAAATATACTAGAAGGAACTATGTTGCCAGGGCCAGGAGGCATGTCCTTGTGATGGGCAGTTGTGCCTCTCACAGAGGGAAACAGGCTGTTTACTGGCTTTGGGAGTGAGGACCAAGTTGGATTAATCATCTCAAGAGAGCATATACATTCAGTCAGGCTAAGTGGATCAAAGGTACACAAAAAGTCATGTTTACACAACCTAAAAACACCTGTGAAAATGGTCCGCCAGGGGAACACACGTGTTTATATGTCTCTTCTCCTAAAGCACAAGTGTGGTCACAAACACATGTACTTCCTCATGAATCTCTGCATCTGGGTCTTCCAGGAAAGCATTCATATCTCCTCATATACACAAACGCATGTGTTCACATATGACTTTCCTTATGCACGTGCATGTACGCACAGATTGATGTGTTCATGTATGAATACAGACAATAATGTTATGTAATAGAAGGTTTTGCATGTAAAACCTCACACACACATTCTGTAAAACTGCTCCCCTCCTAACACTGGTATCATGAGTATTTGTGCATGTGTGTACCTGAATGCATTCCATGACACACATAAACCGGCATCCTCATGTAGATATGCACATACGTATGTGAAAACTTTCACAACACAGTGCTCACAGGCATAGGTGAGGCCCTCCCACATGCACGCCCCTATAATGTGCTCACTAAGTCCGTCCACATATGTACATCAGACATGCTCCATCGTGAATGCTCAGACCAGCATATGTGTGCACTTGTTCTTTACACAGGCAGGCACATAGCCACCTTCATGGGCAGACATATGCATATGTGCTCAGGCATGCACATGCCTACCAAAACACATACATTTATCCCAAGGGCATACTGAAGCCCTTGTGTGTGTCCTCAAATACACAGCTACAGAAATGACATCAGGAAATATCCTTCTGAGCCTCTGAAATATCTCCGGGTCTGTCCTCCTAGAGACTGTGTTTTGCACTCAAAGAGAAAGACCAAATCCTCTCCTGCACCCTCCTGAAAGCCTGTTTCCTCTTGTCTGGTATGACTGACAGACCGCTGTAGAGCACAGAAAAGCAGAACAGTCTTGTTCTCCAGCTGTCCATCCACTTAATCCTTTCTGATTTTGTTATGGAAAAAAATTTCCACCAATTTGCTATTTCATCCCCTCAGCCTGGTGTCCTTGAAAGAGAGAGATTGACACATGGCAGAAAAATGTCCTCTGATGTCCAGCTCCAGGCAGCTCAGTGACCTTCCTCTGGGACTTTGGCTTCCACATACCACACAGGAAACCCAGCCAGGACACCAAAGCGAATGTCCTGGATGCTGGGGCAAAAACAAAAACAAACAAACAAACAAACAAACAAAACGAACAGAATCAATCAAACAAACAGAAAGCAGAAATAATGCATTAATACTCTGCCCCTTTCCACACAGCCAGACACTACACTTGGCAATGTTGTACACTGCAATTTGCACTCAACACACCGTGAAGGGACCTATTAGCAAGCCCATTTTACAGAGAAGGAAATTGCGATTCCCAGAGGTGAAGGCACTAGTCTGAGGCACTAAATGCAGTTAGTATGGAACACGTCTGCTTGCCTCAAAGCACTTTTAAAAACTCAGGAGAATCTGGAAGGAGGCAGGATGTGTTACTACTGCCTGGCCTCAGGAATCCTCATTTCAAGTGTACTTTCACGAGTTTCACTCCCTGGAAGAGGCCCAGTGCACTGCAGAGGCATTTTCCCAGCCTGATGAGGGAACAGGGACCTGGAGGAGGAGAGAAAGTTTGGGGAACAAAAGGAGGAATAGAGTAAGACAGGAGAATGGGACAGGGTTGGCAAGAGGAGGAGGAAGAGGAGAGGGAGAGAACCCAGCTTTAAAAGGTGGTCTAGTTCATCTTCCTTTTTAAAAAATAAATAAACACTGAGCCCCTTCTCCATGCTGGACTTCATAGAAGATGCTGGCAGTGAGGAGACAGAGCAGGATTTTTCATCCAGGAAACTCCTAGACTAGTGGGGCTAATGCCTGTTTTATATGGAATGCGAAATCTTGACTGAATGTTTTAAAAATACTTGCACACTTTCCAAATCACTGAGGGAAGAGAAATGAAAAATGACCTCTCCTGCCATAAGCTAGCTTACTACTACGGCATTAATTATCCATCAAGCCTTTTATACATGTTTTCCTGCATAATCCTCATAACCTTTCAAGATGGTTATTATATCACTTTATATATTCATGTATGTATGTGTCTATGTACATGTGTATATGTACATGCATACATTTGGTTCCAAGAAGTGCAGACACTGCGAAAATCACAGGATTTCAGCAGCAGAAGTGGCATTCAGAATCCCTCAGCTGAACTTCTGGGTCCTTGCCCTAAGGCATTCCTCTTACTGCCCCTTCTGCCGCTGGCTGCACTTACTGCTTGCAGTAGCTGACACAAAGTAAGCTACTTGGCCTAAGACAGCAGAGCTGGATAGACCTTAAGAGATCGTCTAGACTTAGCAAAACTGAGGTTAAAAAAGATGAAGGGATTTAGCCAATGTCTGAACTAGGACTAGAATCTAGTCATCCGACCCCAAAGATCAACACTCTTTCCAGAATGTTCTTTATGACAGAGCATGCATTTTTAAGAATGACGACTCTTAACCCTGATATTGCTGACCCTGATATTGCAGAAGGCAGGAAGACAGAGGCAGAACAGAGATGCCTCCAAGTTCTCAAAGAGCTAGAGATAAAGCAAGCCTTCCATCCCTGAGGTTATAGGATTAGCAATCCTATTTTACAGATAAGCCAACTGAGGCCAAGAAAGGGAAAGGGATTTGCCTATGAAAAAGTGGGGCAGCCCTCTTAAACCAAATCTAGGATCCTTTCCCATAGAATTCACTCTGAACAGCCCTGGAAGCAGCTGAGTGTAGAGGATTAGAAGACAAGTGTGGGAGGCCAGTAGACGGGTGGTTTCAGAGGTACACCCTTAATTGCTCTGGCCAAGCATTTAGAAGGCCTCATGTTAGCCATCTTAAAATAACAACAAAGGGCCCCATATTTCCATTTTTCACTGAGCCCCGCAAATTATATAGCTGGTCCTGTCTTTGACACATTTCCTTTCTGAGCCTGTTTCTTCACCTTTGAAATGAGGTAAATAATGGGGTAACTTTACAGGGTGTACAGCCGACACTGTCTTCACTTCTTTGAGCCAAACATATATGTATGTACACATATACATACACATGTTCATATATACATACATGCAAACATACATGCAAACATACATGAATATATAACAGGTTTGAGAGGGCTGCATCACTTCTTCCCAGGCAAATACCTTTCCCTCACTTGTCCTCAGTTAGCGCATCTGTAAAATAGGATTGCCAATCCTACAGCCCCAGGGATGGAAGGCTTACTTCCTCTCTCACACTAAGAGAAGATCTTGGAGGCATCTCTGTCCCTGCATCTGTCTTCTTGCCTTCCAGGCGAGCAATATCAGAGTTAGAACCTGTCATTCTTGAGGTCTTTCCCACTTCTTCCTTGGCCATCATCTTTCCAGTACAGTCTAGTAAAGCATTCTCCTGAAGACACCCGAAGTCCCTGATTTCCTAGTCCTCATGCAGGGTAGGATAGAAATATCACAGAGTTTTAAGTCCTCCACCCATCTTCCCATCAACCTAGAGAAGCCCTTAGCCAATGACAGATGGGAGGTGGAGGA